AGAAGAAGTCAGATATAAACATGGTATAGATCAAAGTCAGATATAAACATGGTATACATCAAAGTCAGATATAACCATGGTATAGATCAAAGTCAGATATAAACATGGTATACATCAAAGTCAGATATAACCATGGTATAGATCAAAGTCAGATATAACCATGGTATACATCAAAGTCAGATATAACCATGGTATACATCAAAGTCAGATATAACCATGGTATAGATCAAAGTCAGATATAACCATGGTATAGATCAAAGTCAGATATAAACATGGTAAACATCAAAGTCAGATATAACCATGGTATAGATCAAAGTCAGATATAAACATGGTATAGATCAAAGTCAGATATAAACATGGTATACATCAAAGTCAGATATAACCATGGTATACATCAAAGTCAGATATAAACATGGTATAGATCAAAGTCAGATATAAACATGGTATAGATCAAAGTCAGATATAAACATGGTATAGATCAAAGTCAGATATAACCATGGTAAAGATCAAAGTCAGATATAAACATGGTATACATCAAAGTCAGATATAAACATGGAATAGATCAAAGTCAGATATAACCATGGTATAGATCAAAGTCAGATATAATCATGGTATACATCAAAGTCAGATATAAACATGGTTTACATCAAAGTCAGATATAAACATGGTATACATCAAAGTCAGATATAAACAGGGTATAGATCAAAGTCAGATATAAACATGGTATAGATCAAAGTCAGATATAAACATGGTATAGATCAAAGTCAGATATAAACATGGTATACATCAAAGTCAGATATAAACATGGTATACATCAAAGTCAGATATAAACATGGTATAGATCAAAGTCAGATATAAACATGGTATAGATCAAAGTCAGATATAAACATGGTATAGATCAAAGTCAGATATAACCATGGTATAGATCAAAGTCAGATATAATCATGGTATACATCAAAGTCAGATATAAACATGGTTTACATCAAAGTCAGATATAAACATGGTATAGATCAAAGTCAGATATAAACATGGTATAGATCAAAGTCAGATATAAACATGGTATAGATCAAAGTCAGATATAAACATGGTATACATCAAAGTCAGATATAAACATGGTATACATCAAAGTCAGATATAAACATGGTATAGATCAAAGTCAGATATAAACATGGTATAGATCAAAGTCAGATATAAACATGGTATAGATCAAAGTCAGATATAAACATGGTATAGATCAAAGTCAGATATAAACATGGTATAGATCAAAGTCAGATATAAACATGGTATACATCAAAGTCAGATATAAACATGGTATACATCAAAGTCAGATATAAACATGGTATAGATCAAAGTCAGATATAAACATGGTATAGATCAAAGTCAGATATAAACATGGTATAGATCAAAGTCAGATATAACCATGGTATAGATCAAAGTCAGATATAATCATGGTATACATCAAAGTCAGATATAAACATGGTTTACATCAAAGTCAGATATAAAACATGGTATAGATCAAAGTCAGATATAAACATGGTATAGATCAAAGTCAGATATAAACATGGTATAGATCAAAGTCAGATATAAACATGGTATACATCAAAGTCAGATATAAACATGGTATACATCAAAGTCAGATATAAACATGGTATAGATCAAAGTCAGATATAAACATGGTATAGATCAAAGTCAGATATAAACATGGTATAGATCAAAGTCAGATATAAACATGGTATAGATCAAAGTCAGATATAAACATGGTATAGATCAAAGTCAGATATAAACATTATATAGATCAGTGTTTCTCAAACGTGTATGACCCACGGCCTCCTTTTGAGTTAAAAAAAATCAATCACCCAGTCCCCTCCCCCCCCACCCCCCACATCCCTTTTTCTTGAAATATTATTATCATCATCATGTGCCACGCCAAAAAATCGAAGGCATGAAATTACCATACTTTTTGGTTCTGTATCACTGGGTGCTGAATTGATGCGTGACCAGTTAAATGTGGTCAAAACCCGTTTGAAACAAATAAACAATGCGGAAACATGGTTAAATCATTGTCCTCTTGAGAGGATTATGCAACGGGAAGTGACCGTGGGTTCTGGTCGACACTCAACACTCAGAGGAAAGTCAAGTTTAACATTAAATCAATGTGTTTCTGGTCCCATCGGAATTGGAGCTCTGCGCTAGCTGCTCAAGATGTGGACAGAGCTCCTATGGAAGTGTCTGGACAGCTGTAATTTCTTAACTCACTTAACAGACTGGTGTATTAGACATACATTTATAGACTGGAACACTATGCACCCCTTGTCTCTCTCACTATTTCTCTACTTTTTCTCTCTCTCACTCCCTTCCTCCCACCTCCGCAGTCTCGTTCCCCATCCCAAACATCCTACCACTGACAATAATGAAGGATGCGCGGTGGTTGAACAGTTCAGAACGCCGAGCTATCGTGGGAGAGACCAGGCCTGACACTTTGGTAAGTTTGTGAATTTTTTTTTTCCCTCGGTCGTAGGAAAAAAAAATTAATAAAATCCCAACCCGAACATTCCGTCGCGACAGCACTAACCATAAGACTCTAAATCCTCAGATTCAAAGATCAGCCAAAAGTTACACATTTTGGCCTAACAGCAATTTATATCATCAGATATGAAAAGAAAATCACATCCTCTGCTCTTATTATCAGAAAAATATGTTCGTCTTATGTAATGTTTGCACCTCAGAAAGACCACACACCCGCGACTCCCACGCCACCTAACTCTCGTACCTGCGTCTCCTATCAAATTAGACATAGAGCTCAAAGTGTATGATCGTGTCCCACAAGTTTGTGTAGGGGAGACTGGGCAGGTTGCAGGGGAAAGTCCTGCGGGACCAGATTTGTGACAGCGAGGAGCTGATCGATATTTGTCAAGACACCGGAACAGATTGTCGTGGATTCAAGTCATTGATACCCTTAACAGGTGCCTCTTCAGCGAGATCACTTCTGCAAGAACCAATGATATGCCGCGCTCTTCTGGATGTAGCTTCGTGTGGTTGTCAGAATGTGTGTCTGTTTATTGTAGTAAACCCATCTTCTCGTACGCTTTGATGTCACTCGCTGACCGTACCTACGTGATCTTATGAAATTTGGATATATCATGAGCAGTTCAGCTGTCATCTAAAACATGACTTATTTGGTCGGTTTCAAAACAACAACCAAATGCGAGCAATTTTAAGCTTCACGTAGGCAACAATAACAACAACAAAATCATAGATGCGTAATAAAATGATAAGCTTACGATTAATTTGATTGTTCACGTGAACAGTGTGGAAGACTGCTGCTCTATAATGAAGTGCGCCAATGTGTGTCAGTCTTGTCAATCAGTATTTCATTCAGTGGACAATCATCTCAGCATAATCTCTGCTATAGCAGCAATGACTTAGTAGTGTGTTGTGTGACTTTTACAGACGGATGTTCATAGTGCAGAGAAGATGGCAAATGAAGCTGATATTTGTGACATTTACCAACGACTACACATTGTGTGGTGAGGGTGACATCTAAATCTGACAGTTGTGACTTATACCGACGGATGTTCCTTGTGTGGAGATTGAACATCTGAATCTGACATCTGTGACATCTACCGAAAGATGTTCATTGTGTACAGAGGTGACACCTGAAGCTGACAGTTGTAACATGTACCGAAGGATGATCATTGAATGGAGAAGTGACATCTGAATTCACACTGGCGATTTATCATCAAGGCAAAGCCACAAACGTCAGCAGCCAGACAATGCCGCCCAACCGAGTGCGTCCACTGGGATGTCTTCCTAGACTGACCCTAACAACTGAAGAGACTACCGGGAGGAACAAATTGTGAGTGCGTTAGTGGTTAACGGACACAATTGCACAGACAGAGACATACATACAACACGTATGATGAATTACCTTCATGCTTTCTCGTACATGCACGCGAGCGCACGCACACACAAAACTCATACACCCCCGCAAATACACCTAACATAAATCACTGGCTCAATTAAAAGAGGAGATATATGTATCAATTAGTGACCATGTAGTAGTAGTAGCAGCAGCAGTAGCTGTTGTTGTTATTATTATAGTAGTAGCAGTAGCGGCTGGAGCAGCAGTAGTAGCAGCAGTAGTAGTAGTCGTGATAGTAGCAATATTAGTAGTGGTATAATAGTAGCAGTATCAGCAGAGGTAATCGTAGTAGTAGTAGTAGTAGTAGTAGTAGTAGTAGTAGTAGTAGTAGTAGTATAGTAGTAATAGTAGTAGTAGTAGTAGTAGTAGTAGTAGTAGTCGTGATAGTAGCAATATTAGTAGTGGTATAATAGTAGCAGTATCAGCAGAGGTAATCGTAGTAGTAGTAGTAGTAGTAGTAGTAGTAGTAGTAGTAGTAGTAGTAGCAGCAGTAGTAGTAGTCGTGATAGTAGCAATATTAGTAGTGGTATAATAGTAGCAGTATCAGCAGAGGTAATCGTAGTAGTAGTAGTAGTAGTAGTAGTAGTAGTAGTAGTAGTAGTAGTAGTAGTAGTAGTAGTAGTAGTAGTAGTAGTAGTAGTAGTAGTAGTAGTTGTTGTTGTAGTTGTTGTTGTTGTTGTAGTAATAGTTGTAGTAGTAGTAGCAGTAGTACTAGTAATAGAAGTAATGGTGGTGGTGGTGGTGGTAGTAGTAGATGGTTGTTGTTCAAATAGGATTAGTAGTAGTAGTATTAGTAGTAGTAGTAGCATTTTTCGTATTAGTAGTATTAGTAGTTGTATTAGTAGTTGTTGTAGTAAAAGTTGTAGTAGTATTCGTAGTAGTATTAGCAGTAGTACGAGTAATAGAGGTAATGGTGGTGGTGGTGGTAGTAGTAGATGGTTGTTGTTGTTGTTGAAGTAGTTTTCCGTTTGATGGTATTAATATTGTTAAAACTATTGTCTACAGCAACCGCCACAGCACAGTCAGCAGACGAGAAATAACTGTAACACCCATACCTCCTGACACAGTCAATGGCAAAATGGATACAGCCATCAAAGAGAATAAATCTGAGACAACCATCAAACAGAATAAAGCTGAGAAATCCAGCAGGCAGAGTAAATCTGAGACAAGTAACAGACAGGCGACAGTAGCAAAAGTCAGTCAGACAGACTGCAATTGTCCATTTATTCCCGCCGTCCTGTTGGAAGAGTGTGGCAACACGTCTCTGCCCCTGCTACGCAACAAGGAAATTTGGTTCGGAAACAAATTTCGCATCCAGAAAATCTTCGCAGTTTCTGGGATTTCCGCAGCCATCATCTTCAGTGTTCTGATGTCGGACATCATCAGCGATTGTCTGGAGATCAGTGCCATCAACGTGGACGATGTGTGTTTTACAGGTACACCGGTGGCTCTCGAGTTCAGTCTCTCTGCTTTTTGTCCCAAAGGCTTCTTCTATGGCATCCCTATGTTTGTGCTCCGCCTTGCCAACTTTTTCAGCCCCCTGTCTCTCTCTCTCTCTCTCTCTCTCTGTATATAACCCCATCTCTCTCTAACTCTCTCCACTAAGTCTGTCTGTCTGTCTGTCTGTTTGTCTGTCTGTCGGTCTGTCTGTCTATCTTTGTGTATATTATTATATGAACAAAACATGCTTTTTTAATTAAATACAACTGCTGGGTGAAAGACGGATATTTAAAAGGGTCGATTGTAAGCACCAATTTGTGACCCTTTGAAAACACAATTATATCTGTCTGTCTGTCTGTCTGTCTGTCTGTCTGTCTGTCTGTCTGTCTGTCTGTCTGTCTGTCTGTCTGTCTGTCTGTCTGTCTGTCTGTCTGTCTGTCTGTCTGTCTGTCTGTCGGTCTGTCGGTCTGTCGGTCTGTCTGTCTGTCTGTCTGTCTGTCGGTCTGTCTGTCTGTCTGTCTGTCTGTCTGTCTGTCTGTCTGTCTGTCTGTCTGTCTGTCTGTCTGTCTGTCTGTCTGTCTGTCTGTGTAGCTATCTAGAGATTCAATTGTCTTTTTTTTCTAGACCCGCTTTTCTTTCGCTTTTGAAACGACTGAAAAAGACAGGAAATCTGAAAAGCTGTAACAATTACAAAACTATTAGTTTATCACCACGGATTCAAACTAATGCTTAAGATACAAGTTGGCAGAACAAAAGGAAGATCTGAAGAAATACTAGCCGAAAAACAGGCGGGTTTCCGGTAAAATGGAAGCACCATGGAACGAATAGGCAGCACTGATAGAAAAATACTAACAACATCAATCAACGCTACCTGTACCACAACTTCAATGATTTCACGAAGGTATTTGACCGTGTATGGTATGCTGGGCATTGGCAAATAATGAGCGATTTCAACTTCGGTAAGAATATCATAGATATCGTTGAAGCACTTTATAAGGATAAAAGCAGTGCAGTTATCACACACAATGATACGGGACATTTGTTTTAAAGCACTGTGAGACAGGGCTGCTTGTTATCCCTGGCGCTTTTTGATTTTTACAGCAGCAGTAGCTATTGTTGTTATTATTATAGTAGTAGCAATGACGGCTGGAGCAGCAGTAGTAGCAACAGTAGTAGTAGTCGTGATAGTAGCAGTATTAGTAGTTGTCGTAATAGTAGCAGAATCAGCAGCAGCAGCAGTAGTAGTAGCAGCAGCAGCGGCAGCAGCAGCAGTAGTAGTAGTAGTAGTAGTAGTAGTAGTAGTAGTAGTAGTAGTAGTAGTAGTAGTAGTAGTAGTAGTAGTAGTAGTAGTAGTAGTAGTAGCGGTAGCAGTAGTAGTAGTGTAGTAGTGACAATACATCAGGACAGAGACACTAGAAAATGATAAGAAACCAGTATTTATTGGCGGAATACCACTTTGTAATTTATGCACGCAACGTTTTGTCAGCAATGAGGGTCCTGGCCGCCGCCAGTACTAAGCAGAGACTTTCGGCTTCTGTTGCAGGGAGTTGTACTATACCCATCGAACAGGCTTTAGCCATTCTCACTGTCAGCCATACTCAGACTGAAAGAAATGAAAAGGTACAAAATGAAGCAATGCGCATTATTCTGGGGAGCACAGGAGAATCTCTTGTGTAGCATTGAGGTAACTTCTTGACTTTCCAACCATCAGCTACAGGATCAAGATTTGAAGGGCTTGCGCACATCCGAAGATAAGCTCCTAACTAAAGCACTCTTTGCTTTTTCTTTAAGAAAAAGGGCGACAGACTGAAAGGGGAAAATCATGACGTCCTAGAGCAGAATATGGCATCAGGCAGGTCTGCAGTTCTACAGACAACCACCCTGGTGAGGATGAATACCAGTGCCTGAAGCGCTCAACCGCACCTTCTCCTGAGTCGTCACGCTTGACAGGAGTTGTTTGAATCAGAATCCCGTTGCTATCAACGCCGAGGTGTGGGCGCTTGTCAGTCACAAGTTAAATGAGGCACATGTGCTGATCTACACAAACGGGCCCGTTTTGTGAGGATATAAGATGGCATGGGCATTTACAGCTCGCTCTTCAGGCAGAACAGTTTAAGAAGCCAGCGGTACCTTTTCTGTAACTACCAGCAGCATGACAATGGAGGTGATGGCGGTGACGTAAGCTTTCATGTAGTTAGAATCACATGACTTCTTCTTTTTTTGCGTTCGACATCAGTCATGCTAAACATTGAATCCCGTCTGGGTCACAAATAGGATTGTGCGTTTAAGGTCGCCACCGGTCCCTCATCGCTTATCTTTCAATGTGGCTCCCTTGGGCCAGATCCACAGTCTTTGCTGGGAGAGGTAAGGGCAGTTCTGCAGTATGTGCTCAGGGGTATGTCTTTCTGCTCCACAATCACAGGCAGCAGATTCTTTTATGCCTATCCTGTTCAGGTGTGCTCGAAGACCACAGTGTCCAGTCCGAAGTCTAAAAATTGATATTTGTTCTTTCCTGTTGAGTTTGTTTATGCTGTCACTCTCTGGTCTGTAATCTCCATTCTGCCTTCTCCACTCCCGCTTGAAAGACTGCTTGAGCGCTGTTTTGGTTTCCTTGTAGCTGTGTGGTGGATGAGTTTGTGGAAGATTACTCCCAGCTTTTGCCAACTCATCTGCTCTCTCATTTCCTTGAATACCACAGTGGGCTGGTATCACAGGACTGTTCCCGCATGTGTCTGCTGAGTGATTCTATGAGCATGATCCGGTGGGTCGAGCAGGCTCCATATATAGACAATGGATTAAGTAATCGCACAACTCTCCTGTGTGCCTTCATATTTTTCCCAGGGACGCCTATGGTGTTGGCAATGAAAAAGCTAATAGACTGGCAGGATCGACATTAGTTGCAGATGGCCGGCCTATGAATCAGGCTGACATTGTTAATGCCCTTGAGAGATAGGACGTTGCGAGGATTTTGGGAGCAACGTTTCCAAAACACTGCTAAGAATACGAGAAGCACAAGAAGTTTTGTTAATTAGCATAGGACTGGCACTACTAACCACGCGCTGCTGATGAATGCGTTGAAGGGGAAATCTGAACACCCATGGAAGTGTCCGGAGTGCTGTAAAGATAACCCAACTCCTAACTCATAATTCGCGGACGACATTGATCTCATGACTGTGACCTAGCCATATGAGCCTTGGTGGACTAAGCATTGAAAAAACTGTAATGCCTGCTCTTTCAAATACCTCAGTGTTTGTGATCTTGTCCTACAACTTAATGCCAAGTATTCTTTTCAGACATCGCACGTGAACGCTACTTAGCCGTCTCTTCTGGTGCGAATAAGCTGACCAAGTTTCACTGCCATAAAGCAGAGTGAGAACACAAGCCTAATAGACAATAAATTTTGTTTTAATCGTGAGCGTTCTGTTCTCCCAAATTCTTTTTGGTAATCTGCTCACTGTCGTTGCCGCCTTACCTATCCTGATGTTGATATCTTGGTTCATCGATTGTTTCTTATTTGCTGTGGAAATCAGACAGGTGTCGTTGTAGAAAATGAGCTAGAGACTGTTGGAACACGGAATGTCTTGAAAGAGTCGGCTCAGACAGAAAATGAGCTAGAGACTGTTGGAACACTGAATGTCTTGAAAGAGTCGGCTCAGACAGAAAATGAGCTAGAGACTGTTGGAACACTGAATGTCTTGAAAGAGTCGGCTCAGACAGAAAATGAGCGAGAGACTGGTGAAACACTAAATGTCTTGAAAGAGTCGGTTCAGACAGAAAATGAGCGAGAGACTGGTGAAACACTAAATGTCTTGAAAGAGTCGGCTCAGAAAATGAGCTAGAGACTGTTGGAACACTGAATGTCTTAAAAGTGTCGGCTCAGAAAATGAGCTAGAGAATGTTGGAACACTTAATGCTTGAAAGTGTCGGCTCAGAAAATGAGCTAGAGAATGTTGGAACACTGAATGTCTTGAAAGTGTCGGCTCAGAAAATGGGCTAGAGACTGTTGGAACACTGAATGTCTTGAAAGAGTCGGCTCAGAAAATGAGCTAGAGACTGTTGGAACACTGAATGTCTTAAAAGAGTCGGCTCAGAAAATGAGCTAGAGACTGGTGAAACACTGAATGTCTTGAAAGAGTCGGCTCAGAAAATGAGCTAGAGACTGGTGAAACACTGAATGTCCTAAAAGAGTCGGCTCAGAAAATGAGCTACAAACTGTTGTAACACTGAATGTCTTGAAAGTGTCGGCTCAGAAAATGAGATTAGTTATCAATCAAGATAGGACAGAGGGCATGATAGTGGCTAGACCGGGAGGGGATATGGGCTCCTGCCACGTGCAGGTCGGTATTATGAAAGTCAGACGAACGGAAGCGTATGGGTACTTGAGCACAGGCTTCGGCTGCTCCGGCATGCTGAGAGAAGAGGTGCGGTCTAGAGTACAATCTGGGAGTAAAGTATGATATGCCCTTCGGCATCTGCTGAGGTCAGGGTGTCTGTCTTGCTACACCAAGATCGAAATATGTAAAACGTTGACAAGACAAGTCGTGTAAAATGGCTCTGGGGCTTGGAGCGCGGCTGAAAGAGATGTAACCTTGTTACAGGTTTTGGAAAACAGAGTCTTACGACGAACTTTTGGACCCATCGGGGATGCAAACAGCGGTGAATGGAGAGTGAGAGACAACAACAAAATTCATAATCTGTTTAAATCACCATTGATCACTGGCATCATGAAAGCTAATAAACGTAAACATATTAGGGCATATTGAAAGAATGTCAGATGACAGAGAAGTAAAAACTGGATACACCATGGAGATGAATGGTCGTAGACCACGAGGGAGACCAAGACGACGATGGAGAGATAATATCCAGACAGACCTGCAAACACTTGGTGTTACCAACTGGAAAGAGAAGGCTAACCAGAGAACGAACGAACGAACGAACAAACTTTATTTTCAAAGGGTTACAAATTGGGCACGCAGGCCCATCTGACATTCGGCCC